GATGTGACAAGCGGTTAGATGTTGGGAGATGTGCAGCGCTTTTTACAGAAAGCTCCCTAGACCTACGGTGTCCTCATAGATGGACATTTGCTGTCTGATTGAAGGGTTTGGACCACGTCGGAAGGCTGATAGAAGGGCCGTTTCGTTCCATGCGCTGCTTGCCGCGAGGGTACGGAATCGAACTGTATAGTCATGGATGGACATAATCTCTTGCCGTAGTCGAAAGAGCTCATCGTGCATGCACAGCGCTGAGGTAGTTTTGCCAAACACCTTGCGGAAATGATCAATGAAGGCATCATAGGAGCGCACTAGGGGACTGCGAATTCCAGAGAGCTTCGGCCCATTGCAGCGCCCTTCCAGACAGTAGTGACATGATGAATGTGATCTTCGCTTGATCATTCACAAACTGATGGGGTTGTAATTCAAAATATAGTGAACACTGGAGTAGAAAACCGGTGCAGGCGGCCACCTCACCGGAGTAGGTCGCGGGTTTGGCCATGGGACATGCAGAGGCCGATGGCCTGACGGGAAGAGGCTGAAGGGATTCGCGGAGTGCTTGAACCAGTTCGGTGAAGGGATCTGGGGTGAGTGGTCTTTGTGCCTCCATAGCGAGCTTCAATCCGTTAATCTTTACTTCTGTTTTGAGGGACTGGTCTTCTGTCACGACTGGATAGAGAGGCATACACAGGAAGAATGATTCAGAGCTTCTTTATTTACACAAACTGAAGGAGAGCTTCAAACTGTAAGTTTTAAAACTGAAACATAACTTTAGCTCCTGAAACTGAAGAGTAACAGTCCTTATCCACTTTAGGAAGATCCAGCAAGACGACGGGAGACACAGAGCCATGGAGATTCAGAGGGCTGTGGAGAGGCATGAGGTAAGGTATGCAACCTTGAGACCAGTCAATGAGCTACTGAGGTGAGTGACATCAGGTGTTCGTAATTAGTAATCTGGTGATTGTGAACGGGTGTAGGTGGCTGGTGTGGCTGATGTGGCTGGTGAATCTGTGACACTTTAGTGTCACATGATCCTTCAAAAATCATTCTGATATGCTGATTTGTTGCTCAAGAAACATTTCTTATTATTATTAATAATAGCTGTGATGATTAATATTTCTGTGGAAACTGTGATACATTTTATTTCGGAATTCTTTGATGAATACATTTTCATTGCTGGTCCTCATGAAGAACAATTCAGAAAATGAAAAATTGCATAGAGGTTCATATAGGTTGTTTTTAAGGTTAGAAAATTTAAAAGATATAAGCTAAATTTCATAATACAATAAGTATAAAAACAACAGAAGTTAATTGAAAATCTTGATTATAGAAAAACAAACATGAATTTATTTTCGTAATTCTGACTGTATTCTCAAAATATTACTACTTTAATAAAAGTGTGACCTTATTCTCAAATCGTTGACTTTCTTATAAAAAGGTCTATTATGAGTTAAAAAAAAAATACATTCACTTTGATCCCATAGTGTAATGACTTTATTCTCATAAATATACGACTTTAGTCTTGTAAAAGGCCAATTATGAGATTGTCAGAACACGATGACTTTATTCTCAAAATATTTATTATGTTGCACTAAAATGCTGTCATATGAAAATGATTCATAACTAAAAAGTTTGGGGACCAATTCTCACTATTAAACTATTAGCTACGACTTTTGCTTTTATAAACTCCTAATTACTGCTTATTAATAGTTAGCAAGGTAATTGTTAAATTTCAGTATAGGGTATGGTTTAGGGATGTAGAATATGGTCATGCTGAATAAGGCATTAATATGTGATTTATAAGTACTAACAATAATACCAGTAATAATGGCAATAATGCCAGTAATACGCATGCTAATAAGCAACTAGTTAATAGTGAGAATTGGTCCCTAAACTAAAGTGTTACCAAGTTTTCTTATATGGGTATGGTTAGTGTGTAGTAATTATAATTAATGTGTATATGTGTTTGTGGTACTTAAACTGAAACACTATTTTCTTCTTCAGTAATCCTCATTACAGCATTTCTCTCTCACCTGTTTATCTTGTTCCTTCACTTGTTTCTTTTTTGCATTCTCCTCCTCTTTCCTCGTTTTCAGTTTGAGCAGCTTTGGAACATTAATTCCACTCTAGAAAGAAAGAAAGAAAGAAAGAAAGAAAGAAAAGCTGAAAGCTGTTGTTGGTTTATTTTTAGTCTTTGATCCTGTGTGTAATTCATCTGTTGTGTGTGGCACCTTCTTTAATAGAGCCTCTTGATAGAGTTCAGCATTTGCATAGTAGATCATTGCAGAGGAACGGAAGATAGTGATACCTGGGATTGCTTTAGCCTGTCCAGAAACACAAATATAGATGATATAAGTACCATAAATAAACACACACACACACACACACACACGTAAATGAACGGTTTGCCTATAAGGAAGTCTCACCTCTTTATATGACTCTGTTTCTAAGTACAGTTCTGTGTCAGACACCCTGCCAAGCAAAGAGTACCTGGGACTAGAAAGAAAGAAATAACGACAGTTATGCTTATGAACTAATCAGGATCTTGATAGACACACAAATGTATTTTCTCTCACACACACACACACACACACTCACCGCTGGGTCCTGCAGATCACAGTGAGCAGTGTGAAGATGATGGAAGCTGCCAGACCCAGGTCCAGATTCAACAGAACAGTACAGAGAAACGTCACCAGCCACACTAGCTTGAGAGACCGAAAGAGAGAAACACAGTCAGGACACATAATCTTATACAGACACAGATTTAGAGTCTTGATGATCAGATCTCACCAGATCTACTCTGCTGCTCCTCCAAAGAGCAGGAATATCCTGACACTGCATGAACATTCCCTTCAGATTCACAAACACAATGCTGGACAGCACAGCCTGATGAGTGATGACAGACACACAAACACAACTACTGCTTACAAACTGCTCAGATATGCAAAATGGAGGATCAGAATTTAAATGCCATTTAATATAATTCTTTAATAAAGAGTTCTGAGATTAACCACACCATTATAAACTTTCATTTTGACAATCTCTTCCATATGAATCTTGTATAATAAATTTGTTCAATACAAAATGTTCAAATGTTCATACTTTCTAAATTGTCTAAAATTTGGCTTTGTTTTCATAGATATGTATTAGTGTTGTCAAACGATTAATCGCGATTAATCGCATACAAAATAAAAGTTTTTGTTTGCATAATATATGTGTGTTCTGTGTATATTTATTATGTATATATATACACACAGATACAGTATATATTTTGAAAATATTTACATGTATTTACATGTCTATATTTATATTCATATAATTTATATGATAAATAAATATATTTAATATATAAACAGCATATTTTTCTGAAATATATACATGCATATGTGTGTATTTATATATACATCAAAATATATATATACAGTACACACATATATTATGTAAAGAAAAACTTTTATTTTGGATGCGATTAATCGCGATTAATCATTTGACAGCACTAATTATATATATATATATATATATATATAGTTGCTA